AAACACACTAATACAGGACCTTTTGCAGATGCTGTATGACAGTTCCCACTACCTGGGATGAAGAGGAGCAGTACCAGTAAGTGGTGATGTAGGTCACTTCAGTTGGGTGTTATAGTGCCTGCGACACTACTTGCAGTCATTTCACCTGGAAATTATTGAAACATTGCAATGCTGTCAGGCACATGTGCGAAATGTCATTTGCTCTCTTTCAGACAAAACCTCGAAGTCTCATCTGCCACTGAAGCTCCTTCCCCCTTGCCCCAGTCTGCCCTGCAACCGGCAGTCTCTGCCTTATCCTGCTCTGTCTTCACCTTTGCTCGCGCTAGCTTGTGCCAGGAACTGGGGCAGCTGCAGCAGTCCTTGCAGCTGGCACCACAAGGAATGATACAACCGTAAGAAACCCTGCATCTCCCAACCCCCTTTTTCCATGGAAAATAATTTGACTTTTGGCATTTATTTTTGTTTGAAGTAACGTAGGGAAAGCATACTTGAATGATAATTGCACACAAATACTTCTTGTCAAGCGAGACAAGAGAAACCCCACTGAAGCAATGCGGGAGGCTGCCTGATCTTCCCTACTATTTTTTCCTTTTCTCCTCTCCTCTCCTCTCCTCTCCTCTCTCTGCTTTCCAGTGTATCAAGCAGAAGCTACAGCACGCCAGAATGGCACTTCTGTTTCAGCCACCTCCTTTCTCCCCACGCCTCCCTGCTGAGTCCCTCGGAGGGCAGCTACAGGCTTCCTACTCCCCTGAGTAAGTCTTAGTCTCGTTCTGTTCTTTCCTACCAGCAACCCGTGCCGCCTCCCCTGTGTCGTTAACATTTCCTATTGCTTACTTTTAAAAGTTGCCTGCTTCTCCATTGCCTAGTATCCGCAACTGATCCAAGTGTCTTGCTGCAGGGGTTAAAAACCAACCAGAAGTTTGGCATTTTGTAAGTAAATTAAAATTAGGGGGAGAAAAGGACAATTACTAGTTTACTCTGTGGAGCTGGCCAGCTTTCAGATGCATGGGGAAAAATATTTAGGGGGATGAGAAAGAAGATGAACGTTTTCATAAGAATACATTTTTTATTCACTAACAACGAAGATACCAGTGCTGATGCAACCCCTCCTTGCTGTACTGGTCAGGAAACTTCTAGGAACAATACCGAGTTTAACTGCAGAAATCTGGGGATCTGCTTCAGTATTAGGTACATCAGTTCTGGTACAACTCCAGTGAATAAATGACTTAAAATATGTTAAAAAAAAGACACACACACAAAAAAAAGCAGGTGCTTTTAATCATGGGATACTAAACAATCAGTGGCCCTGCATGATCTTATATATTTTTATACAACTATGAATACTTTTATTTATCTAGAATTCTATTTTGTGGTCATTTTTTCACTTGTGTCTGCTTTTTTTTGCCATTTATGACTTCAGTCCTTCAACAAAAAGCCACAAGTTTTGCAATAACTATACTAATTTGTTTCTGGTCTTTCTAACTCCTTTCTGGTGAGGCAGCCTGTTTTCTTTGGTTTTTTTTTCATGAACTAAGGCTCAGGAAATACTCATATGATGTGCATCTCAGGGGAAGGGGCATCTCTGTTTATCTACAGGATGGAAATTGTTTAGCCTTTGTGGTTTCTGAAAGATGTTTGTAGACAAAATGGAGCTCAAAATACAGCCTAATCCACAGTGAAATATTAGTTCTCCTTTCCTGTCAGCTTTCCTAAACCAAGATTTCGCCTCGTCTGTGAACATTCCCTTGAAGAGGGCAGCTTGGATGGCTTCCATGTCCTAACTCTTTGATTTGTGGCAGCTAAGATCAAGTGGGAATAGAGCTTGTTACAGTAATCCATCAGTGGTATAACACATGCAGGAACATCCCAAGGAGGGAGACCTTGGGCGTCACGGGGAAGGTTAAGGCTATAATTTCTCTTAATGTGATTTTGTCTGGCCTTTTCAGAATTTCGTCCGCTTTGGGCAGGGCCACGAGATCAGCAAACCACAGACTGAAAGACTGTGCTCAATTTTGTACGCTCTTAGACCTAAAAATTTTTTATAAGTGACAGCATTAGGTTAAGCTTTCTTCCACTTTCTAAGACTGAAAAACAGAAGTAGAAGATTCACTTGAGAGTACACCATACATGGTGGTGTGGATTTTGGAAAACAAGGACTCTTCTCTTTTACAGCGATTTTCATTGAGTGATTAACTTGGTCCCGATCTAAAAAAAAGTGAAATAACTTCTTAACAAAGAGAAGAAGCAGGAAATGAGAAACCAACATACCTAAATGTTGAGAGATGAAGAATCACTCAAAGAAAAAAAACATAAAAAAAATTAAAACCTTCCGAACATGAGAAACCAACTTCAGTGAAGGCAATAAAACAGAGCCTAAACATAGGCTGTACAAGAGGAAAATTAGAACAGAGATGGAGTCCAAAGAGCAAATATGTAAGGATATAAAACAAAAGCCACAAATTCCTTTATGGTATCAAAAAAAAAGAAAATATGGCAGAGGTCCTGGATCACTGGGGATGAAAGAAACTGAGGAAGACAAAAGTGAGGGAAGGGAAGCAAGATGACTTCTTTTTATCCAACTTCACCACAGAGGATGTTGGGGAGAAACCTATTCTGGTACCTGCTTTTATTTTTCCCTATTTTATTTTTTAACAGGCGTGAATGAACTAATAGCAAGGTTTGAATACTTGCTAGCAGAAACAAATGTGTTGGAGGAGGATGACAGCTTACAAAGCAGTAAACAAGCAGAAGACAAGAATTCTGACAGCAATTAAAATAAAGAAATTGAGCCACTGGCTAAAACGAGTATGCTTTCACTACACTTAGTAACTTAAAGTATCAGAGGATAGCAAAGGTTTCACCTATCTTTACAAAAGCAGCAAGGTTGATTCAGGAGATTGTAGAGCTCCAAGCTTTATTACTGTACCTGGTAACCTGGCTGAAAGGATGAATAACAGGAAATTAAATACATCAAAATAATCACTAGATTCCGAATATGTTTATAAAATAGTGGACAGATAAGAGCAAGTAAAGAAAATTAGACATTCAAAATCTTTACAAGAGCCTCATGGGAGGCCACCTATGAAGCATGAGGTTAAGAGAGCAAAAGAAAATAAAGAATACATATTGATTCTCATCTGATGAGAGGGTTATCAGCAGGTGTCTCACGGTTTGTACTTTGTCTTTCAGAATTATCTGGAAACAAGGAAGCACACCAAGGGGGTAAAATCTACAGATGGCAAGAAATTACTCAGATTAGTCCTGATTTAAGATTATTAGGGATTTGAGAGATAAGCAGTAAATCTGCTTCAGCAGATCATGGTCATTACTGTAGACTGCAATGAAGTGCACACTGCAGGCATTATCGGACTCCTTTGTGCATTGGGCTGAGTTCTGAATTGCCTGATCAGCTCAGGAGACTGCCTGGATGTCCTTGTGAACTGCCCAAAGACAACTGGTGTCAAAAGGATAGCTACAGTCAAAAACACAAAGAAAACCTCAGGACATCTAACAAAAGATAGCACAAGCAGAATGGACAAACATAGTAGGCATATAACATTTATAAGGAGAGGCTGGAATGCTGTGTTTGCTATCGTTTAACCCATTCTAAAAGGTAAGATGGAGAAAAAGTGTGGAAATGGTCTCAAAAAAAAGATGTAGAAGGATTATTTGAGACTTAGACAAGGATCTGAGCAGCCTGGTTTAATTTGGTCTTGCACTGAAAAGGGCGATGGACCAGATGATCTTCAGAGGTCCTTTCCAACCTAAGTTATTCTATGAAATAGAGAGATAAAAATAGTTTCGACTGTTCAGTATATTCAGACAGTAAATCCTGAAACTGGCAAATTCAACATCAGACAAAATTACATTATGAATTCATTGTCACAAGAACTGTGCTAGGAGCCAAATTAAGATTTGATTTTTGCAGTTTTTTAAAAATTGTATTATACAGGGTGTCCCATCCCCCCCCACATCCAAACAAGGTGGCTTTTGGAAGAGAAATCATTCCTCCATTTGATGCATATAATGAGTATTATGGCTCATGAAATAAAATTTTTCTAGGAGAGATCTTCCTCCTCCTCTGAAGCTTCTTTTGCTCTCCTCTCAAGCAGCTGGTATTGGCCACTGTCTGAATCAAGACACTGGTCTAGATGGATACTAGTATTATCTGCTGTAGTTATTTCCATTTTCACGAGACATGACTCCAAACCAGAATTTTCATGTTTGTTATCTCCTGATTATATTCTGTCATGTTTACTCCATTAATCAAGTAATGTAGTGTTTTTAAGGGTCATCCATGAAATCTCACACTCTCAGAGCTCCAAGAGTGAGGTTACAGTGTTTCTATCATGCCTGCTAGCAGCAGTAATAAATAATCTGCACACCAAATTGAGCCATTGACCAGACCTATGCATTAGCCAAGGGATTACCACTTTTTAAAAAGAGGTGCTGCCACAAGTTTCCTTTATTTCTATTTATCTTCCCTAACTCCTAATCATCAAAATTATTGTCAGGAGGAGGACAGAAAAGGAGTTAAGCAAAATATTTCAAGGATACTTTCCTTCTGGAAACAATTTTATTACCAAAAAAGTTCATTCCTTCCATTGCCCTTAAAATACAATCAGGCATCTGCCTTAAAAAAGAGATTTCCTCAAACCACAGAATAAATATATTTGAAGATACCGGTCAAATAAAGTTTTAACCTGAAAATAGTTCCTAATAGTTATATACATTAATAACGTATATAACGTGAAAATAGCTGTCATAATGTGGCTGCCCATTAGTGCGTTGATGAGGAAACCACCTGACAGACAGAGATAAAGCTCAGAAAAGAGAGTACTGGCAACTTCGAAATTCAATGGGAATGACACAATGAATCCACATTCATAAAAAGTGCTGTGACCAGGGAGGAACAAAATCAAAGAATAAAATAAAATCTTAAATATTTCACTTTAAAGAGGGTTTTTAAAAACATATATATATTTACCCACTAGACATACCTTGGCTGACCTAGTGATGGCCCCAATCTCTGAATAAAGATCAGTGCTGTCTGGGAACTTTTCCACCACCATAGTGCAGACGTGGTGCAGGAGGGACTGCTTGTGCACCGTGTCCTTGACTTCTGGAACCTTCTCGAGGTAGCTCAACTCAAAAGCTTTGGCCTGTAAGGGGGGAAAAAAAGGAAGAAATTAAAAATAAAAATGTTTACTCCTTCCCATGCAGATTAGTAGACAAAAATTATTACCAAGTAGGGGTAGAGGGGGAAGAAGAAGAATAATAATCCTACAGGAGAAGAAACTTATTGCTTTTATTTATTTTTAACTTGCTGAAGAGTAGGCCTAAAATCACTCCATCTGCAGTGAAATGACTCATGACAGTTCTCACAATTTGAACGGGGAGCATAGCATCTACACTAATCTCAAGGCGAGTTACACCAGAAGAGCTCCACATTTCCTTCAGGTTATGCTGAAAGAGGCAAAGAGCACCCTGACACACAATAAAAAGAAAAAGTAGGTTCTGTTTTCTAAATTATTTTTCTGGTACAAAATAAATACTGGGTTGCAACTGTCACAATGGTTTTGACTTTTGTTTTTTGAAGGAAAAAGCTGCAGGGGAAATGCTGGGACATCAGGCTTACGTTGGTTCCATTCAGAAAGTTCCCAATGGCTAGTAGAGTAGAAAGGATAAATCCCAAGGTTTTATTGTGCTCCAGTTGGTCCATTCCTTCCTTCAGGTCTAGAAGTGGTTCTGCAACTTCCTGCCATGAGAATAAAAACAAGAAAGTGAAGGCTGCAGTTGACTATAGCTGTTTTAAGTTTTTAATTCTACGGTTTAGATTAATTACTGCAAAAAGTCCCTGAACTGGCGTCTTGCAGAGTGCAAACTGGCCATGTGTGCTGGCTTTCTTCCATGTTCCAGCTAATAAATCACATGCAAGGACAGCAAGAAAATACATAAAATAGTTTCCTAATGTTGCTTCTTTATGTATGCAATTGCCTTACTTGTCCTGGGGATTATTCTGTGATTCCAAACAGGAGAGAGAGAATCAGAGAAGGGGCTGCTGCATTTGAGTTAGATGCATGAACATCCCCCTGCCCCGACTGATAAAAAAACTTCTTATAATTATTTTTTCTAATCTTTGAAAAACAAACAAAAAAAAGTTAGAACCCTGGCTGACTTGACATTTGTAGCCTGACCCTAAAGCTTTCTTCAAATGATGGCCACCTCTGCATTTTAGATATGCTTTTGTGCTTGTGTGACTTTAAAACTGAAGAACAACCCCACTGCAAACATCAAGCTTTACAAGTGTTCTCATTTTAACTTAATGCATCTTCCATCCACACATGTTATCGAGTATAGGTATGTAAACTAATAAGGCTTGAAAACATAAATTCTGTTCCATTACCTCGGGAAGTGAACCACACCAGAGAGTTCAAAGGAAGAGAGCGAGGGTAATTGAGTTGACCGAGCTTATTTCTATGTCTTTGTGTGAGGCCCAGGGTTATTTATTTTGTATGCACAGTAACAGTTCACGTTGTTTCTATCTCCAAGTGCCATCCTAAGCATCTGTGAGCAGCATTCTTTTCCCAAATTATTACACTCTTTATGAGCCAAGAAGCCAAAACTAAACCGTTATTTTAGACCAAGAGGCAAAATAGCCGAGAACTTCACTTTCTTGGAGAAATACAATGGGTCATTCAACAATTGTAGTGATATTTTACCATAAATAAGAGCACAAAGATGAAGGAAATGTACATTTCTAGTCACTACAGAACAAATAACCTCTTGAAAAGAATATGGCAAATTCAAGACAAATTATGAGATGGCATAGTGAGCAAAGTAATTTATAAATCAGAGGAGAGGTGCTAAATAATCCAAGACTTTATCAAGTTAAACTAAAATCAATAAACTGCTGCACAGAATTCTTTGAATTGCTTTAAAGTCAGGGTTGATTTAGTTTGTTTTGTTGCATTATGGGGAATGAATCAAACTGCTCTGCATCTGCTGTAAACACAGGCTTTTGAACTATTTTACTTGTATCAATTTGCAACCTGTTAAAAAATCATTCCCAAAAGGTTAATTTAAAACATTCTGAAGGTGAATAAAAAGGTAGCATAACAGGCTTCCAAAACAGGCCATACTCTAGCCCTTCATTTAGCTATTTACATGCAAGTTATCCAAGCTTAGGCTTTCTTCATATAGTACACATTTATAACTACTCTTTATTTTTTATTTTATTGTAGCATTAAAAAACAATAAAAAAGTGTGCTAGATACTGTATAATCAGATGAAATACCCATTCTTGCTCCCTATAAAATGCACGTTCTACCTAAAAAGGGCAGATACATAATGCAGAGCTACCTCATATCCTTAGATACCACGTAGCCTTATTTAGCATGTTTTTATTTTTCACCTAAAAATATGCTTGAATGAAATTTGAGGATTGCTCCAGAATTTCTGGCCGCGTGACATCTGATAATGCCTGATAAATGTTTGACGCACATGCACAAACGAACTCAACTATATGTGTGCAATGAATCCCATGGTCCTGGGACAGGGAGGACGTAGCACACGTTCTGTACAGCTGGTCTGGCATATGCACTGTTACTACCAACCTGCTATACTGGTAACAAGTTTAGCTTACTGCACCTGTACAAGTTCACGTGCATGCTTTTCTGCGAGGAGTAAAAACTTGGTTGGGATGGGAACTTTGAGAATACCAAAATGTAATTTGCCATATTTGCATTTAATCAAGACTGGCCTGCATAAAGTATCATACCCTTTTAAAACAACAGAAAGTATCAGGATCATACTGTAAAACTTAAAAAGCTCTGATGCTCTTTTTAAAATTTTCAGGCAGTTTAAGCATCACTCAAAAGTACAATCTTTTTGAACACTTATTTCTCTAGCACTCTAGGGAGACTAGAGTCAGGAGTAACCTTTCCGCTCAGAAGAGAAAGTGAAGCAAGCCCTTTTCTTTACCAGTTCTACTTTTCTCATTTCTACACCTGCTTATATTCATTTATGATCCTTTAAAGTTGTCAGCAATAAGGATATATTTGCCCATATTCTTGACCTTAAGAAAAAAAAAAACTGATTTAGGACAACTAAAGATTCTTTTCCTCTTTCGAAGGCCTTTAAACTCCCTTTGAGATAATGAAGTTTGACAGCATCTGCATCATAAATAGTTCAGCACAAAGAACTAGCAGTAACACAGTGTAATTTTTCAGAGCAATCAAAAGTCTGAAAATGAAGATTTAAAGTTGAAACTCTACCTCTTTTGTCTATGCCTTTAAAATGTTACCAAAAGAAGAGAGAGAGAAAAATTATTGTTCCACTGATGACCTTCAGTAGGCATCCAGTACCTTAGATACATGTTAACATTTCAAAACATTATACACGTTATCAAACAGATCATTTGGAAAGGGTTTTCCTTTTTTATTTTCTGTAAAGAGCAAAGAATGAGTATTCATTCATCCAGTTCAGCTCCTCACAGTCCGAGGCTGCTCCCTACAAATGTACCCTGACTTGCTTTAGTTAATTAAATTCAATCCAAGAAAGATGACTGCCTTCATTACGCCTGGAAAGCTTTTCTACAAACATGAACAGTATCTCACTTAACCCTTTTCTTGGACAATTTCATGCTGTTTTTCTTTCAGGTTGTCAGAGATGGAGCTAAGACCTACTTAGGCAAAACTCTGTTCTTGGCTGATTAGCAAAAGAGTCTCATGAATGAGAACCCCAGCCTTACATCAATAACTCAGGTATTTCACACTGTTGATATCATGGACCATTTAAAACTTCCAGCCTCATGGAAATAGTAGGAAGGTTCATGCATTTCTTACATAAAATATACGTGACTCGATAAATAATGAGTGCATTCTGAACTGTTATGAATTTTCCTAATTTTAAAATAGATTTTAAAAAAATCAAGCAAATGCTGGAAAAAATATGACAAAAAATGTGGAGGTAAGTGATTTGGCACCTAAGTTTCACTAAGGGTTTGCCCATTTGCAGATGGATCTTCTGCAAAAACATAGTTTCAAGAACAGAAGAATGTTAGCAAGTCATGGGACTCTTTTATTATCAAGATCATTAATGCAAACTACTTCATTTTTTAATTGGATATGCTCATGGTATCTTATCTCAGTCTAAATAACGCTTATGTTTATTGGTTAGTTGGAACTTAAACTCCGACCTTAACCTTTTGTTATTGGAGAGACCCAACTGCTTGCTCTTTCTTGTACATCTGATGCCTGATCCCATATCTTCCTCTTCACCCAACTAAGACCGAAGCTGTCTGTCATATCTATGCTTCTCTGCCAGGCTTCTTATCACACGCTCTTCTTACTTCATCAGAGTTATCGTATTTTATTTCCTGTACCATTTTATGGTAAGTACTGTACTTAGGCCTACCTGCCTTTCAACAGGGATAAAAATCTTGGTCCTATCTTCACTCACTTGTGCACCCTCAGTAAGTTTGCAGACGACACCAAGTTGGGCGGGAGTGTTGATCTGCTCGAGGGTAGGAAGGTTCTGCAGAGGGACCTGGACAGGCTGGATCGATAGGCCAAGGCCAACTGTATGAGATTCAACAAGGCCAAGTGCCGGGTCCTGCATTTCGGCCACAACAACCCCATGCAGCGCTACAGGCTTGGGGAAGAGTGGCTGGAAAGCTGCCTGTTGGAAAAGGACCTGGGGGTGTTGGTCGACAGGCGGCTAAATATGAGCTGGCAGTGTGCCCAGGTGGCCAAGAAGGCCAATGGCATCCTGGCCTGTATCAGAAATAGTGTGGCCAGCAGGAGTAGGGAAGTGATCGTGCCCCTGTACTCGGCACTGGTGAGGCCAC